AGGAGCTCCAGCCCCAGCCCTGGCCAGGCAGCAGTGGCAGCAGTAGCTCTGGCTCCAGCCCCAGGGCTGGATCAAGGCCAGAGCCATAGCTGCTGTCTGCCTGGGGCTGGTACTCAAATTAAAGATGAGGCTTTCTCCCTCTCTCTCCCCACTCCCCATGTTGAATGGGGAAAGAAACCTCATCTTGGATTCAAGTAAATATGGTCATTAACATGCATGTGTGAAACATATACAATAAACACTTGACCGTAAGGTGGTTATTTTACTCTCTGATCTTACCTGGGTTAAGTCAACAAACTTGTTCCTAAAGAGCGGTAAAGATTCAATGGCTCGGATCTGTTGAATCAATTCATATCTTTTTCTAAGCTTCTCCTCTGCTTCTTCCAAAGCTTGCCGAAGAAGTTCCCGGCTCTCTTCGGACACTTCCTGAACTAAAAGAATCAACTAACCTATGTTAGTTAGTTGCTGTAGGAAGTGTCCTTTGAGTGTCTTTCACTCACATCAGTAATGACAATAATAATACCAATCTGAATATACTTCAGGGAACAATCCTTTATTGGTGGGAGAAATGATTTAAAAAAAAAACAAATAATTACCAGTATTTTCTGACTCTAATATCTGTGATTCTATGAAACTTATAAAGCTCACAACTCAAATATACAGTAGTTTATGTTTACGGTTGACATATTAAATTAGCATTTAGTAATTTATTTTCTAATTTAGATTGAAAAGACCAAAAAGCAGGGAAATGCATACTATTTAATATCTAGATATATAGCTCCTATACAGAAGCAAATATTGCTAGCCTTCCAAGCTGCATATACTCTAGAGACTGTATTGTGAGTAATCTCCTAGAAAGCAAAATAATGAAAATTCTTAAGGATAAATATGCAGAGCTATCGAAACAGAGGAGAATTTTTTTTCTAGTGAGAGCTTATCTTCTGCACTCCTCAGCTCTCAATGCTAGAGGCTGTCTATTCCATCACTGAGTGTTATTACAGCCTTGCAATAATGTAAGCACCATGCAAGTCCCTGTGTAGAAGGATGGACCAGCCTCCTGCCCAGCATTCGTGGGTGCCTATACACAAACTGGGAGGCTGCTCCAACGTGCTGTAATTACAGTGCGTTGGAGCAGATTTGATTAATTGAGTTTGCTGGAAGAGGCTAATTAGCACACCCCAGCCAACTGAACTCTGCATCTCACGTATCAGCATCTCTGCGCTTCAAAATGGTGTTCACGAGCTTTAGATAAAGTGCTCCTGCCACCATTTTGAAGTGTGGGGACACCGATACATAAGATGCTAAGGGTGCTTTAATTAGAGCAGCTCTTGGAGCTGCTTACTTGTATACAGGTAGTCCTCAACTTACAACATTTCAAGTTACAACGTTTCGCACTTACAACATTTATAAATTGACACCCTGTTTCAACTTTACAATGCCAGTTTCGACTTACAACACTTGATCCGATGCAATGCCATGCCAGCAAACAAGTTCGCTGAGTCACTCATCTCCCTGGAGAACATCTGTCCAAACTTCCTTGGACACTTTCTTTAAGAAAGCAGACAAGACTCCAGAAAAACCTGCAGGCAAGACTCCTGAGAAGACTCCAGCCAAGAATCCTTCAAAAAGTCCAGCCAAGAGCCTTTCAAAAAGTCCAGCAAGGTCACCTCAAAGAAGTCCTTCCAAATCAATATGATTGCTATTTACAATATAAATACATTAATGTAGCTATATTACTCATCTATAATTGATCGAATATAAAATTCTGGGGTATTTTTGGTGAAAATTGGTTCCTGAACCAAGGCCCAATACCCTATCTCCCATTTATAACATTGTTTCTTATGAGAAAATTGGTTCCAAGTTGCAATGTTTTGACTTAAGACACAGTTTTCAGGAACCAATTGTGTCTTAAGTCTGAGGACTGCCTGTAATGTATACTATACTATACAGCTTATAATGGAGTGTAGGGATATGTATTCTAGAATTTTTCTCCTCTCCTTTCTAACAAAACTCTGAATCATGTGTTGAAATTGAGAAGAAATCAAGAGCAGCATGGTCTGCTATCATTTTTGCAATATGAATACCTATTTGCCGTTTGTATTTCTGGAGCTTCATTTTTGCTTGCTTCGCGTTCTTGTGTCCTTCTACCACTTGTTCCACCAACTCCCTCATTTCCTTCTGTTCCTGAAGACGTCTCTCTGCATACTGGCACATCAGTTCCCCTATCTAAACCCCAAGCAAATAACAAGTCAGTAAAACTTCTGACAGTTTTTATGCTTCAAACCATTTAAACGGTGGAAGGATATTGGATTTGCCAGATGTTCACCTCCACAAGTAACAGGTATGTTGGGGTGGGACAGAAGAGAAATCCCAGCGGTCCTGCTTCTGCCTCTGTTACAGCAGCTTGTAAGGTTTGATGGAGCTCCAGGGCTAGAGCAACCTCAATAGCCAGGGGCACAAGAAACAGACTGTTCAGAAGGCCAGAGAGAAAGCACTAAGGACAGGATGTTCCTTTTCACCATGTCCCTGGGCTTTCTCCCAATTTTTTTTAAGAGCAGATAAGGAGCTGCCCTGTGCACTGGTCCTGCTGTACTGAGAACAGTACAGCCTGACACAACCCTGGTTTTAGCTGAGCCTTTCATGAGCCTGCACTGCATTGCTGTAATGCAGCTCTCATTTCTTAGTTATGTGTGTTTGGGAGAAGAGAGGAATTACCCTAAAAAACTGTGCACTTGGAAATGTATTTATTTCTTGAAATAGCTCTTTGTCTAATGCATGTTCTGTCATTGGGCTTCCCCAGTGAAGAGGCTCCACATAACCCAGAAAGCAAATAAGATGAGCAAGGTAGACCTTTTCAGATTAATCTGCCTTGATTCCATTCTAACACAGTAATGCAGTTACCCACCTAATGATTCTACTCAAAGCAAATGCAGCTAATATCTAAGTATCTGCACTTCTTAGTTACCTTAAACCAATGGTGCACAACTCCCAATTGTGAGCCAGATCCAACTCACAGAGACTGTGGGGCTCCCCAAGGGTCCAGGAGGTGGCAGGAGGGTGGCAGGTTTAAATGCTGCTCTCCTGATGCCAGACCTGTGCGGAGCATCATGGTCTGGATAATGTGGCCCTGTGTACCAGAACTTACCAGTGTGCAGCTGGATCCAGGCATGCAGGGTCAGGCTAGCACACTGGACTGTACCCATGGACCAACTTCACATGCCAACCTCAGATGGGATCTGACCTTTAGAGTGGCCCCATGCTACTTATCTGGTCCCAAGACCAGAAGGCCAGTCACCGTTACCTTAAAACATTTATTTCAAATATACTACAAGTTCTGTTGATGTGATTTAAGGCATGAGATTCTTGCATTAGCTGCAATTTGCTGTTAAAGTAATAAAAAGTGGGCATGTCTACACGAGATGCTGACTGCAGAGTAGCCTAAAAATACTGTGCAGTAGCATGTCACAGCACAGAATGCTAATATGCTACTGCACAGTATTATTAGGCTACTGCACAGTAGCATCACCTGAAGATATTCGCCAGCACTACTGCACTGTAACTCCAGTTACTGCACATTTATTTAGTACTTGCTAATACAAGTACTAAATAAATGCGCAGTAACCAGTGCACAGTAGCATCTCATGTAGACATGCCCAGTTTTGATTTATATTCTGTATCTTGTTATCATAATAGCCTCCGTATCAATAGGAAACCCATGTCTAAGCCATTCTATAACCTCCATTACCTCTTCTCTCATTAGGTCAGCCTTCTTTTTGTTTTCCTGAATTACATTCTGGCGTGCAAGAACTGCCTCCTCATGACTCAGTTTCCCTTGAAGCCTTCTACACTCAATCTCAGCCAGCTGTTGTTCCAAATCTTTTTCGCGCATCTGCTTTTGCCACTCCAAGAATTCAGATGGGTCACGGGCCCCTCGCAGCAAACTTTCAATTCTGTCAATAGGAAAAAAACAGGAGTCTGTACTGAGGGGAAGTCTTTTGGGCCCTGTCCTGATCTGCAGAACACTTATTGCTGGTTCTGAGGTTAGGTGTTGATCTTTGCCTGAAGAATCAAGGCCATTATTGCTGAATCACTGAACAAATGCATGTTAACTCCAGCCAGAAGTGTAGGAGCATCTTCCAAAATGCAGGAAGAACAAGAGGCTGGGACACAGGTGGCTCTGCAAAGAGAGAGTAGGAATATCAAGGGTAGAAGACAGTGTGCTCACGTATGCATATGTGGCACTGGAGCTACCAATAACACTCAATCCCAAGAAGAGGATAAATTTTATCTATGCACAATGGACTTAGTTCTCTTATTGGGCTTAGACCTGCCTATGCTAGTGGGGCTTCAGGAGTTATTTTTGTTTTTCATCATAGATAAGCATGAGGAAAATCAGGCCCCGTGTATGTATACAGGGATGTTTGGTTCAGAGCAAGGCAGGCACTTCATTTGCTTACAAACCTGAATAATTGCAATGGTGTCTTTCTACAACCTCTTGAGCACTTTTCTTTGAATTGGATGGTAGTTTAAAAGAGCACTGATATGAAACTTTGCCTGTTGGGAGAGGTTTTTTCTATTAATTCTGTCATTCTGCATTACGGCAGTTAAGACCAACTATAACATCACTGCACTGAGACAATGAGGTCTTCAAGCTATTGGGCAAGACCTTGTCCTTATTGTTTATGCTGGACTGAGAAAAGAAAGCAGAGCCAAACCAAGAGCAAAGGCTGTGTGTAGGAAAAATGAGAGGTGTGTGTGCATGACACTTTAAAGCAGGCTAAATGCTTTTGCACTGCTTTAATGGTGCCAGTGTTTGCATGCCTTGGTGGTGTATTGTGCATCAAATCCAGCTGCTGTAGGAAATTCAGCGGCATAATGCGCCTTAAACAACTTGGGGCATGGCAAACAAAAACTCCTTCAAGAAAAGCGGTGAGTCTGATCCCCCTCCCCCCGAGCCTGTCTGCCTGAGCTGTGTGGGGGCCCGGTGCTTCCCTCTGCAGCTGCGGTGCCCTCTAGGACTGCCCGAGCTGGGTACCTGCGGGTACATGCTGCTGGGGCGGGGTGGGCACTGCTGTAGAGGGAAGCACCAGCCTCCCCCCCAACCCTCACCCCGCGCAATCCAGGGACCGCTCCGCCTGCCAGAAGCTCAACTTCCCCTCCCCACTGGAGAGGCAGGTAAGTCAGTGAGGTGTGTGCACAACACGGGGGTTTAATCAGCCCTAAATTGAAGCAGTGTTTTTTAAAACCCACCATTTCAATTTAGGACCCCTGTTTCGTCTACACATGCCCAAAGACACCATAGCAATCCTGCTGTGAAAGGAAGACTGGCTTGGAGCCTTGGAAAAGGGCGCCAGTGCATGCTGAGCTGCAACTTGTTACTGCTCTCAAATGGGAGGGCGCATTGTGTGCTGCTAACCATTTGCACACAAGGAGCACAGTAGTAAAATTGGGGAGGGGGAAGAGCAGGGCACCAGCTCCAGGCTCTGACTATGAGGGGGTGCCAGGATGAGAACTTCATTTTGTATGCTGCAAAAAAACCTTTGGATTCATATAGCATCTACTCATGATGGGGAAACACAACAGTGCATCTACACGTGCAATTAATGTGACTGAATAAACTATGGGGCAAATTGCACTGCAGCAAACCACTCCCAGGCACAGCATCTATATGTGTGCCCAGGACAGCAGCAAATTGAGCCAGGGAGGGGAAGTTTAGGCCAGGGCTGCTCCTGCCCTGCTCTGCTCCCCTGCAGCAGCCAGGGGAAGCTCCAGACTCTGACTGCAGCTGCCTAGGTGCCAGCCCTGGACTAGCAGAGGGCCCAGGGTCAGCCCTGTGATCTGGCTGGTGGTGGTAGTGTGGCCCTGGTGTCTGGGGGGCAGCCCCAGGCTGGAAGAGGGCACAGGAGTGGGGACGGGGTTAGGCCCAGGCAGGAGGTGGTTGCGTTGGGTGATGGAGGAGCTGGCTGTGCCACAAGGCTCCTGCAGCTGCAGAGTCACGTGGCTAGGCTGTAGGCAGGAGTATGGTCCCCTGCTGGCTGGGTTGATCAAGCACAATTTGCTCCCAGGTAGGTATTTGCAAAGTAAATAACTCCATAGTAGGATAGTACTTGTATTTACAAATACTACCCTGCTGCAGAGTTTATTAGTTTTCTGTGACCTAGTAGCACTGCATGTATAGATGCAAGACGTTTACTGTGGAGCTAATTAGGCAACTGCAGTAAATGTCTCATGTAGACGCATCCAATGAGTGACAAATAAACTCAGAATAAATTCCTGAGACTCATACTTTTCAATCTGCTAGGGCCCAAAGGTCAGTTCCTCAGCTTGTGTCTATCAATGTAGCTCCACTGAAGTCAGTGGAGCTACAAGGAATGACAGCAGGCTAGAGACTAGCAGCAAATGGGAACAGAATGTGTGACAAATATAAAAAATGAATGACACCAAGCACATTATTGAAGCAGGACTCTTAATGTTGAGGGACTGGCCCCTTAGCAGACAGAACTCACTCAGTGGCCCAGATTTCATTATACTCAACTGTAATAAGGATGGGCTGCTAGATTTATATGGAACATAGGTGAACTTTGGACTAAAATGAGTGACATCCTTCAAAATGAGGGTTATTTGACAAGTATGAGTTTAAACCTTATATTCAGCATGTTTACCCCTAGAACCTTTTTGGAGGTCAGATGCTTCTTAAGAGGTTACTAATGTTTAGTGATCAGCCTGCTAATCTGGGTGGATGATTTGGAATAATAACGTAACATTTTATAGCTTTTAACTCTTTTGAAATTACTAGTGTTAATTTCTACACTTCTAGTGAAAGAACACAACTTGCATTGTCTATTCAGTAGTCACTCTCTCCTCCATTACCCCAACAACTAATGGGTCAGTTGAAACAAAGGCTTATAAATAATGCATACCCAGAATCTTTTATTATAATGGAAATAAGTGTGTGTGTGTGTGTGTGTGTATATAAATATATATAAATAAAAGTTTGACTAGGAAATTCTAAGTGCAGTAGACCACAGTGAGGTCAGATGTAATTGTACTGATGGAAATGGAGATGAATTTGACTTAATGTTTTTTCTTGAATGGTCATGCATATATATTCTCTTTATAAGTATGCATCTGTTATGCATGTCTGGATATGTATCTGTGCAATTATTTACCCAGAAAAAGGTATTTGTATTTATAAAACAGGAATTTACAAGTGGGCACTAGCTGGAATTAGAAGATAGACACAGTGTACTACATTTACAATAAAATGAAATAATTCCTTGACAATTCAGTGTAGACTTTAAATTTTATTTCAATCTGCTCATTATTAATCATGCATGTTGTTAGAACATTTTCATAAAGCTTTATACAAAATGCACCATATTAGCTTAATTGGACTTTACTTAACCTCTTGTATTGTAATCTTTACAATACAATCCTTTTATATCAAGGATGTATAAAATGGACCTGAAAATATTATTTACAGTAAGTACCTGTTCAGCTCTTGTTCCATTTTCCGCTGGTAGAGGGCACCCTCTCTTAAGATCGCTGCTGCATTTAATTTAATAGGTACATTGTCAATCTGTCAGGAAAATGAGTTTATATATTATAGTTAGCCATGTAAATCATAAAATAGCATATAGCACCATTTCAAGAGGCTATATAAATCAGTTCTCTGTAATTCAATCACTTTTGATCACTTTCAAGACAAGGAATACATTTTGCTCCAAGCAGTAATCTGACATTCACAATGAAATTGCATGCTGTTCATAAACCAGTCGAGCTGCTTAAGATATTAGTAAGGTCCCTCAAGTAGATTATAAGTTTGTAATCACTCTTGAACCATGTCCTATCCTATATAATGTATTCACTTCCTTTTATTTTTTTAATAATTCACTTATTCCTATATATGGAAACACTGTATTAGGAGTTGATTTGGAAAAAATATACAACCCACTTGTAACACAAAACATTTTGTGTGCCCACCTCTGGATGAACTGAAAGGAAGGAACCTCAGACCAATATCCAAGTCAGTCATATGCAGTACCTTTCATTAGAGGATCTCAAAAATTATTTGCAACTATTAATTGACTGAATCTTAATATGCTTCTACAAAATGGTAATTCTATATGGATAAAAGGAAGTACAAATGTCATTGACTTTCAGCGTCACAGACAAAGATACTGGACAGCTGAGACTAGATCCTGTGGCTGCTTCACCATCCCTCTTCAGAGCAGGTATTGCCAGAGGAGTGATTACCAGATAACTCCTGGTACTGAGAGAGGCAGTGGAGCAGGCACTATGCCAGCCAGGGATAGCTTTGACATAAGTGGAGTCTTCAGAAAGCCAGATCTATCAGCTTTACAGCTACACACAAACGGGCCCAAATATAATTGGAATAACATAAAATACAGGCAACAGTACTGAATTAAGTGAAGTTAGTAACAATTGCCCATGTAGTTTGGAAATTCAGTAAGTGGAGGTGAATAGTATAATTTTTCTACATAAGGGGGGAAACTAGACAAGCACACCTATGAAATGTATTTGCCAACCTGCTTCCTAATGCAATAAGTGAGCACTCCCAAAGTGTGGAAGAGGACACAACATTAAACATCCTCTCTCTTTTTTACCTTCATCTCACTGCCTTCAGTTTTTTCAGCATCTTGTGCTCTCACTCTTTTCTTTTTTTTCCCTTTTTTTGGTCCATTTCCTGTCCTTTCTCTATGTGTCTGCATCGTGTATATGCTCCCCTCTATCTTTTTTTTATATTGTACTGGCTCTAAACTGAAACTTTTCCCTGAAATATGTGGATACTTTGATGCTTTAGGAAATTGCTTGTTCATTCTCCTTTCATGTTTTATAATTGTATAGAAAAGTGGCCAAGATCCCTAATTGAAATTGATTATGGGGCTAATTTTCAATTGGAAATTCTCCATTTTATTTTATTAAAAAGAAATATGGTTAAATGAAATGCAGTTGAACTGCCAGGACCCACAAGATACGTGACAAAAAGTACAAAGAAAGAATCTGAATGGAATCTTCAGTGTTTTATGTTACCAGCGCTATCTGTTATCGGTGCTGTCTGAATTTCACTTTATTCTTTTTGGTCATATGATTCCTTCCTCCTTTTCAACCAAGGAAAAATGGAAGCAATATGACAACATGCAAACCATGCTAATGCCTGTGGAAAAAATAATTCAATATTTTTCCCTAATGAACATGCTATTTCTTATCCAGAACAATAAATATGTAGGGAGCAAGACCTCATATGAGCACTATGCAGGCTGAGTCAAAGTAATGAGGCACTTACTGTCTCTCAGCCAGCATGGGGAAAAAAGAATAAAGATTTTATAACAGCAGTGGTAAATAATTTTTGGCTGCACATCATAAAGGTGCCTGACTGAAATGAGAAAATGTGCTTATTGTACAATGGCTGTTCTAACTCAAAGGTAAATGAATGTAGGAAAACTGTAAACTGACCTTAATCTGCTTAAAATTTATATAATTTGATTTTCTTTGAGAAGGGGTTTGTGACCTGCTTACTAGCATGTTGGAGAGACAGTCTTCCTAGATCTTCTCAATTATGTTTTGGGAAACAAAGGACTAGCAGGAAGGAGGGTGAGGAGAGTTTAGACTATATTTAATACTTGTAAACACTAACCTTATCTCATCTATAAAAGTAATAGTAGTCCCATGAAAATCATGCAACTAACCTTCAAGGCAAATGTGTTTAGATGAGATAAATGTGACTGAGCTACTGGAAAAAGATACCTGAAAAAAATTAAAAGTGTTCCTGACCACTTTAATAGGACACTAAATTCATATTTTTAGTTTATGGAATGTAAGCAGACAGTTTAAGTAACAATATGCACACTGATACATTTAAATGTTTTAGATTATATGTCACACTCCTCAGACAGAAATTTTCTGTCCTTCTCAGGCAGAAAATTACTGTAGGTTTTGTGTTTGTATGTTGTAAATGTTTGTGTAAATGTGTGTGTTTGTAAAAATGTGTATATTGTAAATGTTTCCGTAGGTGCTTTTTTCTCTTCAGAGTGAGGAGGGAACTGGGTCTTAATTCTTTACAAAACTTCTAAAACAAAGGCTATGAGTATGATGGATTTTATGACTTCAGTGCATGTTTAAGGGAAGCTAGACAGACAATCACATTTGTCCATCTTATGTAAGTAAGCTGTTAAAATGGTTATAGCTCTCTGATGGATCTGGATTTGAACTAATGACATAGAAGTGAAGGTTTTAAGTCCCTTTTGAGTCCCTTTAATGCTATCCTGTTTTCAGACCACCTAAGGTAGGACTATTGATGGCATTAGAATTGTGCCTTTTTGCGCTACTACTAATTCTGCCCCTATGATTTTCAAGCTACAGTATTCAATCATAACATTTATCATTTTGAAATGTTACTTACCTTGCCTTGGATCTTTTGAGCCTGGAATTCTGGTTTATTCTTAACCTCAGATGCATTCTGCAAGTCATCCAACATTTATTTTCTTTTGCTTCAGAAATATCAATTTCAAATACTAAGAAAAAATGTCTTTATTAAAGATACCACAAATTGTATCTGAAATATTACTCCCTTTAGAATAGCAATGTTATCACCTGGGACAAGCTCCTGCAAACAGTGCATCCTTGAAATCTGTTATGCACCCCAAACTCTGAGACTTCTGCATACTTAATAATTGCAGAATAAGGTCTTGAGAAAAGGTATTGCAAAGGTTACTTAATTACCAGGAAATGTATTGAAATGGCTAAAATGATTAAATAAAAAAGCAAGTTTGGTAAAGAAATGTGGACTCTGGAATGCTACCTAAATACCATAAACACAGCCTGTTCTTAACTTGAATGCAAATGTTTGTGGAAACAATGAAGGATGTAAAAGGAAATCTCCTGAAATTATTTGCTATATGTGGAATTCTGATGACAGGGAATTGCATTCTATGCTATTAGCTACAGAGGCTCAGTTGAAAGTGTTTGGAAACCATAGTGATGAGTACAGTATAAATGGTATGTAGATGTGATACTACAATGATCAAGGGCATGATGTATACCTCTAAATTAGGAATCATATAATCAAACCAAGAATTCTGCGGCTGCTTCTACTCAGCTGTGGCCTTTCAAAAGAATGGAAAAGTCCCTTAATGGGTGAAGGGAGAGCAGCTAGAATGGCCAGAAAAGCTGCTGGAGTAGAATTAAAAGCAGGCTGGGAGTTTCAGGGTGGGAGAGAGCACTGAAGTACTCCAGGATCTCTGTGTTAGGTAAACTCCATTCTCAAGGTTTAAATAAAGTGATAGTAGCATCATTTCAACCCAAAGAACAATGAGAATCTTCTTGGTGCTCAGAAGGGATTTTATAGATTTTATTGATTTTTATTTACAAATGTTTTTAACCTACCTCTCTTTTATCAAGCTTGGAGAATGCACACTTGAACTTGTTAACATTGGCTTCCAGCACCAGATGCTGAAAAACAAACAAACAAACGTATTTTAAAAAGACCATTTTAAATCTTCATTGTGGAATTTAAGAACCTCTATTTTTTTCTGTGCATTAACGGACTTCACATTTACATGGGCTGGTGCATCAGAGAACTACAGACCAGTCAGCTTCACCTCAGTCCCTGGAAAATTCATGGAGCAGGTCCTCAAAGAATCCATTTCTAAGCACTTGGAGAGGGTGATTAGGAACAGTCAGCGTGGAATCACCAAGGGCAAGTTATGCTTGACCAACCTGATTGCTTTCTAGGATGAGATAACGGGATGTGGTAAAAGCAGTGGACATAATACACCTTGACTTTAGCAAGGCTTTTGATATAGTCTCCCACAACAATCTTGCAAGCAAGCTGAGGAAGTACGAGTTGGATGAATGGACTTTAAGGTGGATAGAAAGCTGGCTGGATTGTCAGGCTCAACAGGTAGTTATCAATGGCTCAATGTCTAGCTGGCAGCTGATATCAACTGGAGTGCCCCCAGGGTTGGTCCTGGGGCCAGTTTTGCTCAATATCTTCATTAAGGATCTGGAAGATGAGATGGACTGCACCCTCAGCAAGTTCATGGATGACACTAAGTTGGAGGGGAATAGTAGATGCACTAGAGGGTAGGGCTAGGATTCAGGATGACCTAGATAAATTGGAGGCTTGTGTCAAAAGAAATCTCATGAGGTTCAACTAGGACAAGTATGAAGTCTTGCACACAGGACAGAAGAATCCCATGCACTGCTACAGCCTGGGGACTGACTGGCTAAGCTGCAGCCGTCCAAAAGAGGGCATGAGGGTTACAGTGGACAATAAGCTGGATAAGAGTCAGCAGGGTGTCCTTGTTGCCAAGAAGGCTAACGGCATACTGGACTGCATTAGTAGAAGCATTGCCAGCAGATTGAGGGAAGTAATTATTCCCCTCTATTCTGCACTGGTAAGGCCACATCTGGAGTAGCGTGTCCAGTTTTAGGCTCCCCACTATATAAAAGATGTGGACAAGTTGGAGAGAGTTCACCAGAGAGCAACAAAAATGGTGAGGAGGCTGGGGGACGTGACTTTTGAGATGAGGCTGAGGGAACTGGGTTTATTTACTCAGGGGGTGGGGGTGAGGGGGAGGGGGGCGTTGATAGTAGCCTTTAACTACCTGAAGGGCGGTTCCGAAGAGGATGGAGCTAGACTGTTATTAGTGGTGACAGATGACAGGACAAGGAGCAATGGTCTCAAGTTGCAGCAAGGGAGGTTTAGGCTGGATATTAGGAAAAACTCTCTCACTAGGAGGGTGGTGAAGCACTAAAATGGGTTATCTAGAGAGGTGGTGGAATCTCCATTCTTGGAGGTTTTTAAGGCCCGACTCAACAAAGCCATGGCTGGAATGATCTAGTTGGGGATGGTCCTGCTTTGAGCAGGGGGTTGGACTAGATGTGACCTCCTGAGGTCCCTTCCAACCCTCATTTTCTATTATTCTATTACTCTATTTTCACTGGATGGAGTCTGGAATTACCATTTACATGAATTTTCACCCTTGGTCAAAGACTTGCTTTAAACCCCCGATTCTTCAATTAACTCCACTTTTGTGGACCTCTGTACAGAGAGAGCTCCAGTGTAAGGGTCTGCCCATGCAAAGCTCACAGAAGAACTTCAATGGAGAGCCTCATCATTACCGGTGACACCTAATTACCAGATTTGTGTTCACGTGACAAGCAAAATGATTTTCTGCCCTTGAGGAGTGTGGAGGCTGAAGAAAGGTCTAGAGTCTAGACTGCTCCATGAGGCATATGAATGAGTTGTTCCTCCTTTTACTAAGTGCCCCATTTTGCTAGTCTTTGGACAATTCCATTTTCTTTGTAAATTGCAGTCTAGGAAGAATTGGCTTTCAGAGTGCTGATGTTAAGCTGGACAGTAGCTGGGTGCGTGGCACCAGCACTATCATAAAATGTACAGAAAGAAGCCTCTGATGCTTTCACCCTTTTCTACACTTGCTGACACATGTTACTGTCAATGTCAGCTATTATACTTGCAACTCTACTTAGGAACAAGCAACGTTTCTGAAGGCATTTTTCTTTTCAGGAGCCACAATTACAGCTCATTTAGTGAACAGTCTGGGAACTGACCTTTATGAATGCTTTGGATGCCTTTTATGCCATTTTAGAGGCGACAAAATTTGCTGCTATTGCAGCTTCGCTTTTGGCTGTGGCTTTGCTTTGTGTTGCTTGCATTCACACATCTGCTTTGCTAGGAAATGTGGCTGCTAGTTAAGTGATTTTACACTTATCATGGATTTTTAACAATACTGATACTGTGCTTTGCTTCTTTCTCCTTCCAGTCCCTCCATATAGTGGGATTGGAACACAAGTTGGCATGCAGATACAGAGGCACGTTTTGTACAGTGCAGAAATGACAAAAGGGTAAGAAATAAAGCAATGTTACTGGAAAGTGAAGACTCTTAAAGAAACACCAAGAGTCCAGTAATTAAATGGGGCAGCAAAAGGAAGGACAAAGGGAAAGCTTGCCCTAAAGAAACAACACAGGCAGTTCAGCATGTACTATGGCTTGGGAAAAGAACCAAATGCATCTTACACAAGGACACAGAGAGGCCAATACAATGATGAATGGCCTTGTACCAGGCAGCAAAAGCTAGAGCAAGGCACTGGTAGAGTGGAGGTAGGAACATACAGATAAAACAATGTCCAATCATGTAACTTTTATATAACACCTGCATACAGCGATTGCAGTTTGGGGAGAAGAGAGTGGGAGTTGGTATGTAATTAATTTCTTCCAAGAAGCAGACAACAGCAATCTGCCTTAAATCTAATAGGAGCTAACTTATTTACTAGGATTTATTTCAAAATCAGGATCAAAGCATGTAACCAAGTGTTTGCTTGTGTGAGGGCACTTCCCAGGCCTCCCCCACAAGCCCACCCTTCTACCACATGTTCTGCTGGTTGGTACATTCACACCAAATTCTTCCTCTCATAGCCTGCTCTGGGGAGAAGTTCCCAGGTCTGGGCAGCATCATGTACTGCAGATGAGCCAGTACTTGGGGATGCTCTCTATTTATGTCTTAGGGAGCACACACAAAACTGTAACAGTGGCTTCTAAGCTGTAATTGTTAGCAATGCATCAAATATTTGCAGTGGGAATGAAGGAGCAGCTTTTCTCCGAGGGATGTTTCCCTCCATAGAGCCAGGAAAATCACCCTAGTACCGATTCCCCTGCCATGTGGCTGAAGAAGGCAACCAGGGCTTAGAGGAACAGCACCTCTTCTTCCTCTAATGGAGACAGGAGAAGCAAAAATGTGTGGCAGGAAAACCCACATAGACTACAGAAGTAAGGAAAATAGCTCTGACCCTTGTGAGGGGGAAGGTAGGAGCAGTGGGAAGTAGCTTCCGAAGGTAGGGGCAGTGGAGAAGCAGTGTGGAGTACCTCCAAATGGATCATCACAACACTTTCCCTTCAGTACCTCCTTAGCACAGCAGCCAGGCCTGGGCAGAGGGTGAGAGTCTTTAGTGAGCTACGAAGCATGTGGGAGCTTCTGTGACATCTCCATTCCCTGGGTTCCTTCACCAAGTTGATTCAGTCATTGGGCAAAATTGAGCGCTGAGGTTACAATAAGTGAATGATTCCAACCAGTGAAAGGCCAGTATTGACCAGCCACATTATGCCATGGTTTCATTCAAGTTAGCAACATTCCTAATATTATAGGTAGTGTTTGTATTAGAGACGAAACACTCTGTCCCAGAGAGCTTACAACAGAAAAGAGAAGACAGAGTTTGGGTGAGGGAAGAGACTGATTAGAAAGAGGGACCTTCATGGCTTCAGGGCAGGGTACCTGGGTCAGCAGCTGCAGAAGCAAAATTGCCCTGGACAGCACCCTATAGCCATAATAACTGCAATGTGTCTTACAGCATGTAGATGGAGGAAGGAAGGACTACTAGATCACATTGCACTTACTTCTGCTTTTTGGCGGTTTTGGCGTTTGATTTCCTCTAGATGCCGTTTTTCCTTTGGAGGTTTGTAGGTGCTCTGAGGAACCTACATTAGAAAGCAATAATCTCTGTAATAAAGGGCATGAAGGACTGAACAACACAAGCAATGAGACTTTGTGGAGAAAGAAGTATCTTTAACGTAATGTTACAACAGTTATTTTGAGAAATACTGATTGCTTTTCTGTTACTGCCAGCAACTAAAAGGTGATGTTTAGCTATAAACACCTCTATTTGCCTGGAGCTGGCCAGGCTTTCCAATTCTGCATTCTTGGCCCTAGCCAAAAAGCCAGACAGAAGAGAAAAAAGAAATCCATCACTGCCACAAAAAGGCCAAAGGGAAAGACCTGACCTCTGCTTCCCAGAAGATGAGAAGGGAGGGATCAACTGGCCAGATGCAGAAATAGGCCTGCAGGCCTCCTATGAACATCTCTGGTCCCACAGTATTCACTGGTGAAGTGTGCTCTTTGTGGGGTAGAGTTATTTGGGGATGGAGAATCTCCCAGTATCACTCAGAGATTTGAAGAAGCACTGAGATACTGGGACGTGATGGGGTATAACAGTCAGGGAAGAAGGAAGGGCTGTGCCTGGGGTAGCTGCAGTGCATGGGGCAGCACTGGGCTGCTGCAGTGCTGATCACGAAGGTGCAGCCAGCGGCTGCTGTGGTGTCGGCTATTTCTGTATGCCTTGATAAAGGCAGCGGCTGGGGCTGTTGCCCCACTTATGCCCCCTCCGGTTATGCTACAGTTTACTTGTTTGTCACAGGATCCAGTAGGAGATTTCAGGGACAGGTGTGCCCAGCATTGACTGAGGCCAAGGCTCTTTGGGATTTCAGTCTTTTCTGTTCAGGGGAATTGCTTTGTTGTGTGGTACTTGTGAGTTCTGGGTTGAAATGATAGTGTGTCCTTGGGAAAGGGCAGGAAATGGACTCAGAAAAGCAGTTCCCCATGTGGGCAGGATAGCCCTATGTGAGTAGGATAGCCTAACAGTTGACAGGATGCGTGCTGAAGTAGATACCTCTTTTACAAAATGTTCTAGCTCAACCAGGGTCAGCAATTACTCATTATTGGTTAAAATGCTATGCCCTGTACTGTGGAGTGGTCATACTAGGTGATCCCTTTTAGCCTGACAGTCCTTGAACTCTAAACATTTAGACTGTCATGAACCTGATAGCCATGACATGCACCGAAGTGTGGACAAGACCTCCATTGGTTTTGCGAATTTACATCACTGTGCACATGGTAAAAGCTTATAAAGTTAGTGACTCAAAATGCTTTGCAAACAATGAAATAAGACCCCCACCATTCCTCAATAGCAGCCAAGAAGTGTTACTGAAATTTTATGAGGAAACTAGGACCCAGAGAGGTTGCGGAAAGTCATGCTAGGAGGCTGTGTCCGCGTTTCCTCTTTTTTCCTCAGAGGTGCTTTATCACCTGGCCACTCACCCTTTTCTAAGTCAAAAAGTTCCTTTCCCTTTTTCAGAAATTGCCATGCTTACTCCTTGTGTGTAATTTAAGGAATTGAAACACTTCAATCAGCTTTGTTTTTAAAATGATGCTAGCCTCAGTCTGCACTCAGATACCATGGTGACAAGCACTAGTCTGACAGCGACTCCCCTTTATAACAATCACCAAACACCCCGCATTCGCTCACAGTTAAGTGAAGGAGAGGACAAATAAACACCTCAGACAAGTCATTTTCTACAAGGCCTAACACTAAATATCAGCTTGTTCTAACTTAAAGTTGTACCTAAATCCTTGGCAAGTAAAAAGGCAGGGAGAAAGAAGCCTCCTTTCCACTCATCCCCTCTAGGCAGTGCCAAGGCCAGATCAGACACCAGGTCAGACATCTGTCCTATCATGGCCTTAAATACACAGCACTTCTTCCAACATATAGGACACATTAGTCTGTAAATATAAAATCCCCTGGAAAATTGAGTGTTGGGGTACTTATTAAAATTTTCAGAAGTTAGGGAGTACTTGCTACTTAAAAGGTTGAGAAACACTGCTCTAGAGGGCTAGAAGGAGACAGCCAAGAGGGGAGTATAAAGAGCTGGGGGATAGTGACCCAGAGCAGTTTGATTTTAGCTGTAAACAGTTTGCTTGTGTCTTGTTTTATGTATATAACCAGAGGACTAGGTGGTCTGGAGGCCATGGAGCAGGTGCCAGGAGACACTATGTCAGAGGTTCCCAACCTTTTTAGACTGCGGACTGGCAAACCACAGACTGGAAGTAACCGGCGTACTGTGCACCAGCCAACTCTCTGTTATACTCAGTAGAAAAAAGGGTTGGTTTCCAATCTGCAGTATCTCAGTCACTTCTGGACTTCCAGTCCAGCAGCTGACCCTCCTGCAGATTGGCAGCCAACCCTTCGTGGCTTGATACCGGGCTGTGGCCCAGGGATTGGGAACCTCTGCTGTAGGTCTTCAGCCCTGCACAGGGCAGGGGTGCAGTGGGACTGAATTCAAGGAGTCAAACTCTGACCGTGGGCCACAGCTGAGGGCATCACTGAGAGAAGAGAAGCCACGGGCAGAAAGGCTGAGGCTCTGACAAAGAGTAGTGCCCAAGGTACAGAGTGTACAGACAAGGGTGGGAAGCCCCTCGAGAACAGCGACTGAGTGATACCTGTGAGGCCCGAGCGTGGCTAGCGGCCATGAATACTGCCTGTAAGGCATGGGTAGGTCTCCTGGGGAAACAAGGGGTGCCTGACCAGTGCTGGCAGGACTCGGGAAAGGTTTTGGTAGCAGACTGGGAATCGGACTGAGCAGGTTAAATTTAAGTTAGGGCATCATCAATAAGAGCACTCCAGGACAGCCTCTCACCCCAACAGAACGTTTCCATCAGGACATGGCAAGTGAGGCTGTGAGAGGGTACACAAAGGAGCTGGAGTAGGGCAGGATTGTGGCCACTAGGGGCTTCCCCAGGATCTGTCCAGTCGCACCCTTCTACTGTTATTCTTTCAGAAAGGCTAACCAGATGCATGCGGGCAGAAGGGAGCAGTTGGATGCATCTGTCTAGTGCAGGGGTCAGTAACCCTTTAATAATGATGGGTTGAATTTACACAGCTCGGTCCTCAGGCAGGCTGCCATGTGCGACTTGGCCACTACCACCGTTTCCCTTACCAGCGATTACTGCTGGTTCCCCTTGCTGCAAAGTGTACTGTGAGATGCCACTGCCTTCAGCTTCATGAGCTGGAAAAAATCTCTTTGCAGGTTGGATCTGTCCTGTAGGCTGTAGGTTGCTGGCCCTGTTCTAATGAACTGTGAAACCAGTGTGCTCCTTGAGATGCAAACTTTCCTAGAACTGCCCCTTACAGGAATGCAGCTCTGGACAATCATCAACATAGGCTAGTACGTTAGGGGCTTAGCATGGATGTCTTTCAAAACAAAACATGAAAATGTTTTCTAAGGCAACACCAAATTTTATTTACTGCTAACATATGCTTGCAAACAGCAATGCCTTATTTTGGATAGCAACCAGACAATGCCACAGTCCTAAAGGAGGAAGAAAATTTCTAGAACGCAATGTGATAAACAAACACTTTTCAACTTTATCAGTGAACATTTGTATTTCTTTAAAACTTACTCAAGTGAGATAGGGAAGGCTTACTATTATGTTTGCTGTATTAAGGGCCTCTATTTTTTTTTATTTATTTATTTTTTTTTTTACACAAAGAGATTATAGAGTTCAAGAATTACATTATCAATACATTACCCAAAAGCCTTTCTGTTGGCCAAGGCAGCTTCATTCATTTTGTCATTTTAAAAAAATAAATGGAAATACAGTTAAAGGCCAAGGAAAACCTGTGAAGATTGTGCTAAATTTGGCCCAAGTGCAAAACCAGTGGAGTTACAATTTATCAGGGTTGAACGTATTTTCTATTTACATGACAATTTCTCAGACAAATCTAAAGATACAATGATTGCAAAACATTATCACTACCACATCTAGCCCCAATAATAAAAGTAGTAGGTTAAATAGAACTGTAAGACTTGGCTGGTATTTTCAAATTTGCATAGGGGGTATAGGCTTCTAAATCTCGTTGAACATTATAATGAAAGTTAGGCACTAAGCTCCCCTGGGTTTTCTGAAAACCCAACCTAAAGCACTATTTTTTCCTTGTGGATCCTGCTTTTGTGAATGACAGGGCTGTAGAGATGAGGACGGAGACAAAAAATTATGATCTTCTGGCCAAGAGGTCATGACTTCATTAACTCTATAAATTAAACAAGATCTTTTTGTAATTGCAGTCTGAGATCAGGGAAAAAGGGGAAGGCATGTGCACCACCCTGCCATCGCCCTTCCTCCTCTATGCTGCTTAGACCCTGAAGGTCTGGACATATTTACTGCAGGGTAAAAAGGTAAGGGGGGTGGGATTTACTGAGTGTCAGTCGCTCCACGGTAAGTGCCCATTTGCATGCTTTTAGCTTACAGTAAGTGGAAGATAGACCACAGTAACTTAGCCCTCAGTGCAAAAGGGCAAGTTAAGCTCCCCATTCCCCATTTTGATAGGCCTTGATCTCCCAGTAATCAGCTTTTCTTTTGCTAATTATGTGCTGGCTACACCTCAGAACTTCTCAGAATCCCTTCCTTATGCTGTACTTAACTTGCTGTACCTAGCTTCCTATAAATCAGAGACCTGAGAGAAAATGTCTTACATTCAGAATCTTGTCCAATAAAAGCTATCAGCCTAAGAAGAAGTCCTTGCCTGTCTAATATTCCATGACACCCTTAAAAGGATTGTTTCAGGGATGTATTTGGTAGCTGTGTTGGTCTGGAGACAAAAAGAAATGCAGAACTCTAGAATTCTTGGTTCAGAGAGGATACCTTTTATTAGACCAACTAAGAAATTGCAAAAAAATATCTTTTTCTGCAAACTTTCGGGCTCACACGCCCTTCCTCAGGCTCAGGAAAAATTAAACATGGTACAAAGTCCTCATAGGTAGAAAATAAGGTGGAAGTCTGTTCAAACACTCTGGGTCCATGACAGTGTCTTTGTGAGTTACTCTTTGATGTGCAGATCAGGCAGGATTCCTTCCCGGGTAGTTTCAGGTGGCAGAAAGGCGGGGAGGTGTAGAAATCTTCCTTGTTGTTCAGCAATGAAGCTTAAATACAAAAATTGGCTAAAGTTTAGCATCTTCCATGTTTCAGGGATCTATTGGTCTCCCAACATGTGGTCTCCCAACACAGCTACCAAATACATCCCTGAGACATGGAAGATGCCAAATTTTAGCCCATTTTTGTATTTAAGCTTCATTGCTGAACAACAAGAAAGATTTCTATACAACCCTGCTTTTCTGCCATCTGATACCACCGGGGAAGAAATCCTGCCTTATCTGCACATCAAAGAGCAACTCAAAAGACACTCTCATGGACCCAGAGGAACAGACTTCCACCTTCAGCTTCCTTTGTGCAAAAATGAAGTTTATTTTCTATCTATGGGGACTTTGTACCATCTTTAATTTTCCCTCAGTGTGAGGAAAGGCATGTGCGCTCAAAAGCTTGCAGAAAAAGATAATTTTTTTTACAATGCCTTGTTTGGTCTAATATATGGTATAATTTCTGAACCAGGAGTTTTAGAGTTCTGCATTTCTTAAAAGGACTGGGGCATCCTGGTTGAGACTGTGGCACACTGGCCTAAAGTTCTATCCTGTGAATCAAAAGAATACATTTTACCACACAAGTGCACTTGCTCACTCATAGCCAGAGCTTGTACAACTGCTCAAAGTCCAGACGCTCCCACGCAAATCCAGACAATTGTATCAAAGTCCACCAGTAACTATGCCTCCTACTGGCTCTGGCCCCAATATTCCACCCAAGCCTGATACAAGCCAGGCAGCCTGCCTAATGACAAGAAACTCATCTCCTGTGCAACCAGTAGCCTCACATGAGGTGGCAGGACAAGATTTTGCAGCAGCATGCAGGATACAGCATGTAGAGACTTATTTCTGTCTGTGCCATCCATTTATGCACAACTTCTCATCATATACCAGCCTGTCCAGAAGCTGTGGTCACATTTTTCTCACCCCTGTCCTGCAGTCTGGGTTGGCTGAGTGGGGCCAAATAAATCTGATGCAATTTATAAAATAAATTAATACTATGGTCTCAGTCTGGCTTTTGGGGGAGACTTGTCTGTGTCTGCAAAACAACTACACAATTCAATATAATTAGCAGTCTTTAGTTTGGATGGGCTTGTGAAATAAACCAACAGTGGTGATTAACAGGGTGGAAGGCAAATTTGTAGAGATACATGCAGAAGGTAGCAGGCTATCTGCTCAAACTGTGCCAATGGTATTCGGTTCTTGTGAACACTTTGACAATTTGGCAGACTTGTAATTTAAAACAAAGTTCAGTATAATTCTTGCAATGCAAATGAGTTTCAAAACATGAATGTACATTATGGCAACATTGTTCTAGGAGGAAAAGTGCAGCCTAAAGGTGCCCAGCTGGCGGAACCGTGACTCATTTCTGCGCTCAGTAAGCAGTTCATAAATGCATTTTTTCAGAACCCCGTATTTAGCTATTTCAGTGTGAAGTCCCATTAACTCTACACTGTGCTGCCGCTAAATTGCACAACCACCCAAAAAACAGAAAGGATTTCCATGAGCATTCAACACATATTATTTAGAACTAATGTGCTAATAAAAAGTTGTAGATAATAGACAGAGATGGAGCTCCTGAACAGCTTTGCTTATACATCTAACAATGAACAATCATGGAATCTTCATTGAGCAAATGTTAGAAAGCTTGGTCCAAATCCTGTTAGAATTAACCAAACAGCCCCATTAAAGTCCATGGTATCCCCCAAGATTTGTGGCAGTGTAAATGAAATTAGATTCTTACTCATGGAAGTAAGCATAGTGGGTAAGATAACAGAGGTAGGCTCTCAGAGAAAAATCTCTAGTCTTCTCTGGATGCAAGCGCTATATATTAAATACTAAACGTTAGCATTAAGGTGAAAATTTTGCAATGTAAGCAATGAAATTTTACACTTGAGGATAAGCTGCAAATCTGGAAGCCATCTTGCTTCCGTTGATATTTCTGGGAACTTTGCCATTTACTTTAGTGGGAGAAGGATCAGAGTTATATATTCTTATAAAAGTCACAATGTGATGGTTCTTTTCTAATCTGTACCTATATATTATCTTCCAAAGAAAAATAACCCACTTATTAAAGTGTCTGGGAGCAGCATCTGCCTCAAACTTGCTTTTCTTGAGATTTTCCAAAGGCACATACAACTGTGGCTACATAAAGACATCATATTTCTACCAGGAGAATCACCACTCTCTTGGCAGAAACTATGAGTATACAAGTGTTCATTTGATTTCTTCCAGAGGAAACATACTCCCTCCAGGAGAAAAGATCTTTCAGACGTCAACCTGAAAGGTCTTCCCTGAGACATAGGCAGACAAGGTTCCTTGGGTGAATTTGATATCTTTTATTAGACCAACCCAAATGGTTGGAGAATAGTTATTAAGCAAGCTTTCGGGTTCAAAAACCCTTCGTCAGGCTAAGGAAGCTTCAGCAGTTGGTGTGTGCTCTTCCTGGATGGAATGAAAACAGACACTCTCCTGAACGCTTGTACACTCCCCTCTAGTTCTGGTCCAGGAGGGGAGAGGAGCAACAGGGTAATGCTCCCCTTGCTTACCCACAGCAGGGTCTCTAGTCTGAAGAGTGTGCAGAGCTTTGCCCCACTGCTCCAGTCCCCTCCCACATTGGTCCAGGTGGGAACAGGGGCAGCAGGCTGCCTGGCTTGGGCAACAGGCTGTGGGCTTTTCCCACTGCCCCCTCCACTCTGCTCTGAGACCTGTAGCAGAATGGAGGAGGCTGTTCCCCACCCATTCCCCAGACTCCAATCTGGGGAAGGTCTGGTGAGTCTTTCCGAGGTGCTTCTCTCTCTCCCTAGGGACTGGCAGTAATGGAGCAGCCACTGCTTCCTACCTCTTCCCCAGATGTGGATCACCCTGATTTGGTGATGGCATTGAGAGCAGGGGAGAGGTAAGCTGAACACTTGCATGCTCCTTCTCTTAGAAAGATTTCTAGTGTGGTGGAAATCTCTTGCTGCTAGAAATTAATGTCTGTTTGTGACCTGTAAGACAGTGCTTCCCAAACTTTTCATCAGAACAACGCCATTTCCTCAGGTTGGGCCCTCACTCACAACCTGCAGCCCTCCCACTCCCCCAGATGCCCATCACTCCCCATCCTAAGCCCCTGATCCTGCCAGTGCCCCTCACTTATGACCTGCAGCCCCCAGCCCTGCTGGTGGGAGCCTCCAGCTGCCAGGGCTATGGGACCAGGGCCTGCAGTGCCCTGCTCCTGCCAGCAGCACCTGAGCCCCCCACCCACGGCAGATGGCAGCTACTGCAGCTGGAGCAGAACACAGAGCCCAGTTCCCCTCTTCTCTCTCCCCCCACAGGCAGCATGGCCAGAGTGGAGCCCATTGGTGAGCAGGGAGGATGTGGGCTGCCCACTGTGGGCTCATGGCTCCCTGTACTACTGCCCTCCCCCGGGGCTTCTGCAGCCCAGAGGGCAGGACTCAGTGTGGGTGGGTAGGGGGTCTCAGTGCTACTGCCATGATGAGGTGCCCCCTGCCCGCCTATCAGCTGCGGTTCAGAGTCGTGTGCTCCGCTGTTGCATAGCTGGCGTGGGGCTCCCAGCAGTGGCACCGAGCCTCCCTACCCTCCCGCACCACATCCTGCCTACTGGGCTGCGGAGGCCCCGGGAGGAGGGCAGCAAGCCCCAAGCCTGCAGCAGGAAGCCCACATCCACCCCCATCCCATGCAAAGATCTGGGAGGCACATTCCCCCCATGCCTCCCTCCCTGGCAGTGCATGACCCCATTTTTTATCATTGCAACCCCAAATCGGGTCGCAACCCCAACATTGGGAACAGCTGCTGTAAAAGTTACCCTTTTGCTTTCCTTTTGTCCTGCTGTAGGGCAGTATCTCAGAAAACACCTAATAACAGTAATGAAATATTCTATACAAATGGATTTCCTCCATAACTCTAGGCATCAGACCCATTCTTCTTGTTGTTCTATCAACATTAGTAGGTTTTCTTCAGATCTTAAATTCAAATAACTATGGAAAAAACTGTTAATTTAATTAAATGCTTAAGTGCATATATGAACACATACAGTTTAACGTTCTCAAGAGAATAAAAACACTTACAGGTTGAGTCCTCTCCTGTAATGGTATTGGCTCAGGTATTGGAATGGCCCGGGGCTTGGGAATGGTCAAATTAAACTCCTTTGGTTCAGTGACTGTTGAAGACTTTACAGTAGTAACATGATTATCTAACTTATCAGCAAGTTGCTCAATTAATTGCTGTATTTTTGGCTGCCATCTTTAAACAAAGAAAAAAAAAGATTTTTAAACCTCATTTTTCCGTTTTCTCTTGTATCATTCCATAATCATGCAATATCCAACGGTGGCATTGAGACAAATACTATAATAATTTGGCAGTTCTGTTGATTCCCTTTTAACTGAATTGATTACATTCATTTGTACCATGATTTAGTTTCACAGGCTGTGGCTCTCAAATGAAAATATTACCTTAGTTCTTGACAAAAGATAGTCTATTTTGAAATACTAGTAGTGAAATAACTGTAATTTTTGCAGATTAAGCAAACACATTGCAAGCTCATTTTGCAACAGTGTCAGACAGTAAGTCAACAGAGATGGTTATCATAAGCAAAGTAGGTACAAAGAAAAAGAATAAAGACAAACAATGGTCTAAGTAATACTGTTTTGTCTGTCTGACAGAGTTAATATATCAGTCTCACAGCATAATTTCATTTTATCAAAAACTAGGAAGACAAATAATTTATGTGAATAAAGGAATCCATAAAAGAAAAGGTGACATGCACTATAGTTTAGGTTTTTGGATTTATTTTGGCCTATATGAAGATTAAAACTTTCAAAGCTCAGGGACAAATATTTGCAGCAAGCATTACTATCTCACATGCAATTACTCAGACACTGAATTATGCAAGTGTGCATTAATTTGAAAACCCTAACAGCCTCAATGCAGTGAAAAAACATGATCTCAATTTATCCCTTGCCTTCTTTCTATAAGAAGTTCATCAGATGCCATTATCTTTATGCATTCTTCACTAGTTTTTCTGTTTTATAGCACCTCTATAACAACAGAATGCAAACCTTTGATGTGTCCACAGCTACTCAAATCAACAGGAAAATGATGTCCTGCTGTGTTCCTGAAATGCTTATGTTAGAGAAGGGAAGTGTAATGGGGTTTTACTCCCATGATTCAGTTCTCCCAATGACAGTGGAAAATGGGCTGCAGAATCTTAGATTGTGCTGTAATTCTGGGGTGAGGCCAATCATGGACTTCTGGCAGTAAACCAAACCCCACTGAAGGTGGTGGAATTCCTCCATTAATTTCAGTGAAACCAAAAACAAAAATACATTTAAAACATTTGAAGCTGCTGACTTGATTCAACTGATGATTGCCCATACAGCCCCTTGATGCAGGTCATTTCCTAAGCAAAAGTGGCTTGTAAATGTTCCTGAGCAGCTCTCAATAGTAAGCCAGGCATGCTTACTGCAAGCAGCACTTTTAATCCTTTTGTACTTATGTGGGTGCTGCTACACACATGCCCACCCCTGCACTCCTTATTCACGCTATTCCGATTCCAATGAGAGTTTCGCCTCAGCAAAAGATACAGGATTGAGCTTTGCTGCATATGCAGAAAAGGGGATGGTTTTGGAAAGCAGGATATGGGGTTTAAACAATAATAATAGCCCCACTTCTTATTTATAGTGAGACCATTTTAATAGCATAAAAAAGATCCTTGAGGACACTCACTTTAACACCCCTTTACACTGACATAAGTCAACCCTTTGGGCCAAATTCTTATATCTATGATTGCAAATGAAGGGAGATTTTTAAAAAATGTACTTATTTCTGTAAGGAGACACTGTATTTTGAATCACTATTCTGGGAATATACTGGGCCAAGTTCTGCCCTCACACATGCACTGCCAACTCCTAGTGACCTTATTAGAGATGTATGTGTATTTTGAGACAGAACTGCACCACTGCCATCACTATTTTGGCACCACCAAAACTGAAGTTTATTAATTTCACACATTGTTAGAACATGTTTTAAACTCTGCTTCAGCCAAAACATTTCATAATATGCTTTCATCTACTGGTATGTCTACACTGCACGAGGGAAGTATGACTGCAGCCCAGGTATGCTGAAAGTAGCTGTGACCTAACCACCCGGGGTTACAATAATACTAAGACTGTGAAGAAACAGACTTCACAGTGGGCTGTAAAAGCCTGCCAAGGACTGTGGGTATATACTTGGTTATTATTAGGCTGTATACTTCACTGATACTGTGAACTTACTAACTTTCATTTATCAACTTAAGCTAGATAAATGAAAGCCAGTATAGATATACCTACCAGTCTTGCAGTCACACGTCCCAGCTGCAGTATAGATGTACCCATGTTAGAATACCCACTAAACTTGGTTAAATAAAAAAAAGGATGCAGGCAGTCATAAAGCCATGACCCAGCCACAGCTTCAAGCATATGAGTAGTTTCATTGAAATCGAATGGATTACTCATGTGCTTAAAGACACACAGCTTAAGCGTTTTGCTAGAGCACAGTCTAACTCCACAAGATGGTTAAAGCCTTTGACTTCAATCTGATTTGAATGTTGTATCTTCCAGTTTCAAATTATGTACTCCACTGGACTGAAAAACTAGTGTGCAACATCTGAGAGAGAACTTTTCTTAGCTCCATGGACCTTTGCTTAAAGGAAAATTAAAAGGCCTGCTTGCTCTTGTTGAGGCTAATGAGAGTTTGAAATTTACTTCAACAAGAGCAGCAGTACGCTGTATAGCTTTACAGAAGTTAACATGCTGTGAAGAAGAAAGACCCATCTGAAAATGTATCTTTTACCATGATATCATATTTCAACTTTCAAATGCACAGAGACGGACTATTTGCTGCTTACCTTAGCAATGGATCAATCCAATTTTCCTTCACATAAGGTGAATCATATATTTGACTCCATTCATCTTTTATCCAGGTATTTAAATTTAAGACACTGAAGAAGAATCTAAGAAACTAAAAATAAATTACTTCTTTCAAATATAATGAACTGGAGACTTGAACTAACATTATACAGCTCTTCTTACAAATTACACCATTTTTCTTACAAATACTCTCAACACCTTACACTTTAATTGAAATGAAAATATGCCTTGACATTTGCAGGTTCATCTCAATTTGGTTGTAGTAACCTCATGTCTTTCAGCCTTACATTGCGAGATATCAGTAGGTCAGAAAAATCTCTGTAGCCTGAAAAGCATCTCTGTTGTCAGAGCACAATGATTTTCAGATGCATTGTAAATTTATTTTCAAAACACAACAATATTATTAAGATACAAGAGTTTGCATCTGGAAAACAACTAACTTCTCTAATACAATGATTTTAACTTAGTGAAGCAGGTATATCACACTGATGTTTTTAGCACAATTAATTGATATATTCCCATTGAACTAGGAGATTGCTATTTGGTATGATCAAATATGATGGGTGGGAGAGTTGTGGGGATGGGTGGAGAGGTGCTACTGAGTGCCAGAGGGGTGGGGGCAGGGGAGGGATTTAAATCCCCAGAAAAGGACTGCTGCTCCTTTCATAGTATCATAGGGTCATAGAGAAGTAGGGGTGGACGGTTCCTCCAGAGGTCTAATCCAACCCCTGCCTATCCAAACCAGCCTATATAAACCATCATCTAAACTCGACATAAGACTACCCTCAACAGTGACTTAACACAGACCTAACACCCTAATGTGCCACAGGTAAAGCAGGGGAACTGTGACAGCTAATATCCTGCTTCTGTATAGTGTTGTCAATATGCTGAAGAGATAGAGGGCCATGCCCCCCACTACAGAGGAAGACCAAACCCCTGCACAGTCCATACCCATCTGACCATGGGGTAAAATTCCTTCCAGACCCCAAATATGGGAAGTGGTCTGACCCTGAGCAGAGGAGCAAGACCCTGTAGCCAGGAACCTCTGGTTATGTTCCTAGCAAGAGAATTGGCACACCTGGTTGAAATCCCCAGCCTTAGCTGTAGCCAACACCCAATGCCTCTGGGGAGACTTAAGAACACCCTGACACATACAACAGAAAAGGGGGGGGTGGGCAGGAAACGATCAAAATCTAGAAGCATGAGAAATACCCATGGTAGAAAATAGGCATAGCTCTGTCTAGATCATCCCCAACCAGAGGCTGGGGAAACTCTTCTTGAAAACCTCTAGTGATGGGGAGTCCACAACTTCCCTAGGCAGTCTATTCCACTGCTTCACTATTCTCACAATCATGCTGATAGACACGAATAAAAACACAGAACCAGTACTTTACTGGAAGAAGAAGCATGTTAGTTCAACCTGACTCCCTAGCATCTGTATATACTGGGTGCTTCAACAGGGCTCTATGGTGCTTTTGTCTAATATCTGCTTCCATCAGCTATTAGACAGAAGGGCCAAAAAGCCCTGCTGAAGCGTGCCATCTATACAGATGTTGGGCGAGTTGGGTCAAACTAATGTGATGACTCTTCTGGGCATGAGCTGTTCTTGGTGTGAGGGTGCACTGAGCTGCAAGTAAAGCACTGTTTTGTTTTGCTTTGTGACATCTGTAAGCAGCCATAGTGAAGAAGTTCTTCCAGATATGCACTCTAAATTTACTTTGCTTCAGCTTCAAGCCACTGGTCTGCATCCTCCTCTGTGATGCAGAAGATGCAATATTTTCCTCCTCCCATTCCTCAATCCTTTATCTTCTCTGCACACAACCCAGACCACCCTAACAAGAAGCAATCAATTGTGCACTGTAATGCCACATGCTACTGTCTCTGAGTTATTGCTGTTTCAGCAATCTCTGACCAGGGCACAGACCTTGTGACGTGCTTGCAGTTACTGAAGCAATAATAAATACTAAGCAAAGATCAAACCTGATCCATAGCCACCTAATAAAGATTTTTTTTAAATTCAGTCCATATAAATTGACTTTTAATAACTATTGTTCTTGAGTTGCCAGCAGCTTCTTGTTCATGGTTTTCTGACTGCTGTCTTAACAGGTGGTTATTGTCTCTGGAGGCTTCCTGCTGCTATTCCAATTACAAATTGGTCATTAACACTTTGTGTTCTATTAGGTAACAAATTATGGTAATTATGTAGTTAACAAAATCTGTATCTGCAAATATACAGTTCTGATATGTATACTTTGGTAATTGCTACTGTGAGATACATTTCAGTCACCATTGTTCAGTCCTCACAGACAGCCAAGAAATGTCAACTAGTGGTGTACTACAGAAGCTCCGTGTGCAACATGCCAGAGAAAGATTTGAAAGCTTCTCTTTGCAACACATTCTAGGGGTTGCCAGCCACCATCTCTGAGTTAAACCCTATCCGAGCCAAAGTCCACGATTTTGGCTTTGATCATTAATGTCAGAGCTGCCCAGAAAGGAAGTGTGGGAAGAATGTAGCCTCCTGAAACTATAGCACATTTTTTCATTCTTTTACAATGGGAACTTATGTCCTGTAGATCAGTTACCAAATTTGAGTCATGAGAAACATTCCTTTGCATTTCCCTTGTCCTTTTTGGCTGCTTGTTAGTAGGTAGGATCCTCGTTACCAGTAATTTTTTGTATTTTTATGTTATAGTACCTATCATCTGCTATTCTGAGTGGCCATTGTTCCTTACTGTAAAAATCTCCTAAAAAGTGACAGACCTGTTGTTTATTCTGCTTAGAAGACAGAGTAGAAGGGACTTTTCTGGTGAGTCCCAGTCTTCATTTCTAGGATTGCCTATCTTCATCCCAGTTTCTATTATAGCCAATTTTGGTCTCCTGATTGGAACGTCTTAAGTCATAGCTTTCCTCCCTTCCTTAGACTCCTCTTTCAACCTCATTCTCTTTCCTGGCTCCTTGACCCACTTTCCTACCCTTAGTTTGTCATTTAATTTCACTTTCTCCAAAATCTACACTGCCTTTTAGTTCTACCTCCAGTCAGGAATCTGTTCAGCTCCAGGATTGCTCATCATACGGTCCGATGGCCATATGATCCAAGGCCTGGAGGGAAAGCCGTATGAGGAGAGGCTGAGGGACTTGGGACGACTCAGTCTGGAGAAGAGAAGGCTCAGGGGGGACTTGGTGGCAGCCTATAATTATATAAGAGGGGTACATCAGGACCTGGGAAAACAGCTGCTCAGAGCTTTACAAGGGATAACAAGGTCTAACAGCCATAAACTCCAGGAAGGCCAATTTAGACCGCATATAAGAAAAAAGTTCTTTACGGTGTTTGTGTACAGAGTCCGGAACAAAAGAGGTGGTGCAAGTACCTACTCTGGGTCCCTTCCAGCCTCTAATGTCTATGAAATTGTTAATTGTTCAGTGGCCGTGATGCAATCTGGTCATAAGAATGGATGGAGCATGTCAAGGACAAACTATCTTTGGAGAATGTACCTGCTGAAATCTAGCGAGTCTCTACCAAGTATGTCCTAACTGAGATTCTTCATAAAACTTAAAATGTTGTCAAATGATTTTTTTCCCCCTGAGGAGCAATCCAATGCCTCTCCCTGACATCAGGATGAACTCCTGGTCAAATATTAAGTCTTTGCTCTAAGCCAAAGAGAAACTCTAAGATGGAGTTTCTCTTGAAGCAGCTGTAATTTTTTTAATGGGTGGGAAAAAAATACTATGTAATCAGATCTCTCAATCAGCTGATACATTTCTGCTGAAACATTCCAAAAATATCCAACCTGAAATAGACATCTGGGCTCAAAAATTCAGCCCAATCAGCTGAAGTTGAGCAAGATCACTGAATTTTTCTAGTGAAGACAGAGTCTAATAATGTGAAGTACTAGCCAACCTTGACTATTGGTTATCACTTCACGTGCAGTCTATAATATTAGATATGGGGTACTTTCATTTAGAGCAGTTATTGGTAGACAAGGCTGAATCAGCAAAATGGGAAGATGCCATACAAATGAAGAGTTATAAAAATAATTCCTTTGGTTCATAGTGGTGGTCTTTTGTTCTTTGCTGTAATGTACAAGCCCTATATTTGCTCACAAAAGGATGAGAATAATTCAGATAATAAGAACACAAACAGGACCAAGGTTGCAACCTATAGGCTTGTGATTTTGAGAGTAATTCAGTGAGGATGCAAGTTTTGAACTTATACATACATGACCATAACCAACTCTTGAAACTTCTCTTAATAATACATTTATAGATCTAACAATTTTGTATTTGGACTGATGTGTGCAGTTTCTCTAATCTTTGTCTTTATCAAAACATCCAGCCCTGTATAAGCCTTAAGGGAAGCCCTGTCTTTTGTAGTGTTTACAAATATGGAGCCCTATCTTGCATGATTAAGTCACACAAATGGACCCATGGTCTGCAGAAAAATATCTTTATCTGCATCAGACAAAGATAAAATCTACTTTGGTAATATACACAAATTATTGTTTTGCATCTCAGCTAAAAAAAAAAAGGATAGTTCTGGTACGTTGTCTACATGTCAGCATCCTGAAAGAGTGTCTTCGAATTCTGTCTGTCAACCTCCTGCTGTTGCTACAGCTGCAAATCTGCCTTCTGCTGTTTTAGTCCCTGTTGCTGGGGGACAAACTGCTGCTTCTAAATCCACTGCTGCAGGTGCATTCACAGAATCTAGCAGTGTGGAAACAAAGAGTCTCATTTCATGCAAAAGGTGAAAACCAAGATTCTAACGTGACAAGGGCCTGAAAAAGACACAGGTAGGAAGAACTGCATGCCAAAAGAAACAGAAGAGCAGGTGCAGAAAGTCACCCAATGCTACACATTCCTTTATGGAACAAATGTATTATGTTCAAGGTCAGAAAAACTGTGCGTGGAGTAAAAGAGTATTGAGGACACTGGCACTCAAACCATCTAAGGTAAAGAAGGTAGAGTCATGGAGAGGTAATTAATAATGATTAGAAAGAAGGTGCTTTGCGAAACAAAATATCTTTGCTATTTAAGTGAGCTCAACTAGTGTCCAAACCACTTGTTTCTTCCAGGAAACTGTTACAAACAGGGATCAGGGAAAGTCTTTTCTGCAACGAGCTGTTGTTTTCCTATTAGATTATGATAATCCTCTTAGCCACTTCTCTTGTATTTTTCTAATAATTAGTGAAATATACTATTATTGTCCATGAACTGAATTAGTGGAACTGCTTCAAAGCAGGCACATCAAAACAAAGCAGTCTAAGTGCCTTTAAAAACAACCTTACCCTCCCACCCTCCTCCATGTAGCAACTACACTCATGGGAAAGGCATCAGGGTTCAAATGAGCATGCCAGACAATAAACATAAATGCTGTGCGGGGACATCTTGGTTATCTGATATTTCAGTTAGCTGAAGTTTGCCTGTTCCCTGAATTCACCTCTGTACAGGAACTGAAAGGCCACCTAGCCAAGACTTCAGCATTATGGATGGCCCCAGAGACCTCTGGGTGATCAGAGCTTACCTGTGATACATCCCATGTCCTATTACCTTTATTGCTTTACAATGAAAAAGAAACCAGGAGCAGATTCCTGAGGCAGCCTGTAAGCCACACACGACCTAGGACAGTACAAATTACACAAAGCAATCCACTTATTTTTCTCAGAGGGTGTAAACACAGTTGCAAGTGATCTTTGGCTGCATGTGGGATAACCTGAGCATGCCTGCAGAAATGCAGCAGTTTTTCAAGAGCAAAATATTGATTTCCCATAACTTAAACAAAAGACAACATTTTAGTTTCTCCATTTAAATTAACTTGGAAGCAGAAAAATTCAGAGAAGGAAAAGCAATACTAACACTTCTATAATCAAAGCAAAATGCAACCAACACAAAAATAATTAATCAATTACTATGGAAACATGGTGTCAGGTTACCTTTTAAAGTTGTGCTAACACCATCTTACTTTTATTACCTTATGCATTTTTGCAGCATCCAAAGATTTGACAATTCTGCTGAACTGCTGAAGACCAAGCTCCTCCAGTTGAAAAGTGGCCAGATAACAAATAACTATAAAAAACCACATATTTAAAATACAATTGGTGACATGTAGCAGAATGTATTTATATATATTACCCTTTCGGATTCTGATATATTACCGTTTGGGATCCTGGTTTTCTCCGATTATTTTTAATCACAAATTCTCTGATAAAAACCCAAATATCCGTGATTAAAATGAAAGGCCCCTCAATCCCCACCAGGCTTTGCTCATGCCCCTCACTGCCCCCAACTCCCTCCTGGTGCCTCTCATTCTCCCCCAACCCACAGCCTTGTGAAGCTCAGCCCTGCCAGAGGGGGTCCCCAGCTGCCAGGGCTGCAGAGCCAGGAACCTGGGTCCACAGCCCTCTGGCCCCAACAGAAGGCAGCAGCTGCTGCAGTGGAGCAGAGCCCAGCTCCCCTTCCTGCTGTAGGGTTAAGTGGGGGTGGGGAGGGGGTGGCTCCCTGCCATGGTGCACACTCCCAGGGAGGCAAGGGGACCCCAGATCTGTGGGTGCCCCCCAGATCTGTGTGTGGGGCGAGGGTGGGGTGGGTTGCCTGCTGTGGGCTCAGGCTCCTGCTCTGCTGCCCTTCCCCAAGGCCTCTGCAGTCCAGTGGGTGCAACCCAGCACTGCAGGGAACAGTGGGGCCACACAGGAAAGCTGCTTGCCACTGTGAGCTCTGCGCTGCTGTGGCAATACATCACCTTTGCACATGGCAGCAGTGAGAGGCACAACCCCATTCCTGTGCCACTGCCCCAACTGCTGCCGCAAGGGCAGGGGCTGTGTTGTCAGGGCAGTGTGGACTTTGCAGCGGCAAGGAGATCCCTGTGGAGCCCTGCTCTGCAGCGCCAGGTCACACCCTCCAGGCTGCGGAGGCCCCAAGGGGGCAGCAGGGCAGGAGCCCAAGCCCACAGTGGGCAGCCCGCACCCACTCCCGGTTTTGTTGTTATCACTATGGAGTCTCAGATTTGATAAGTATTTCCTATTTAGAGTAAGATCCACAGCTGCTGTGAATCGGCACTGCTCCATAACATGTACAGCGTTTGAGGATCTCAAATTTCAAAATCCAGATCAGTCCCAGTTACCTAAAGGCCATGGGTTCCTTCGCAACACTTTCAGCTAAGTGGTTGCCTACTTGCAAAATCCATTTTTGCAAACTTCAGAAGGTCTGCAGGACTGAAGCTATGCTTCTGTATATATTCTATGCCTCGTAATAACAGAACTTGGAGGATGGCAAGGTGCTGGGAACAAAGGAGTCAGGAGGTTGAAAATTCTCTGACAGAACATATTTTCATTGGAAATTGCCATGTCCTCTAAACCCAGACTGTCTCTGGGAACAGACTGATTTTGACAAAATTTCATTTAGAAAATAAATTATTTAAGCACGTCTGTTTTGATACTTTCAGAACAAAATATTTGACTTTTGTTTCTAAAGGATCTTTTGTTACAAAAATCATTGTGTGAGACAATTTGAAATGAAAAAGTTAGAAGTGAAAGGAAATGTTTTGATTGACCTGAACACCATTCCTCTATTTACAATTTTTCAGGAAATCCTGAATTTCTTTGCTTTTATTCTGCTTTGGATCAATACCAGTTTTTGGAACTGTTAAATTCCCCATAAAATGGAAGCTGGTAGAAATTTCTGTGTTTTTTCTGTGGTCCTTTAAAACCAAGGTGCTCCTAGAACTTGTGGACAACTAAGAATTATATCCATCTTCTGTTAATCATAGCTCAGTTTGATCAGACTGTCTAGACTGCAGTATTTGAGCCACCACAGCATGGTAACTAACAGAAAATCCTGACCAATATGCTGTAGCCATCTCAATGTGTGGTTGTGGAGTCTTCAATCCCGTGTATCTGCATGGCAACACATTTAAGCGGTCTTAGCAGAATATACATGCATCTCATACAAGCTTTATAAAATTCAAATCTGCTCACACATAGCAACAGCCAGTATAAGCAGCTTTGATAATGTAAGTGTCAATGAAGCTTGGCAAGGGGAGTCAAAAGCAGCTTAGAAAATCTAAGCAAATGACCTTTATGCTCTCAACTTGTTGATAAAGAAAAATCCTCAAGGGCCCCCCCCTTCCTGTGATTAATGGAGGCATTTGAGAGGACGAGTCCTACCAATCCAATTATAAAAACACTCAGCTGAAAGGAATAATTTATGTGCTCTAGACACAGAAAAACACAGGCCTTTTGTTTATGATAGAGACATGCAGGCAATGAGGTATTCTTTAAAGCAAGCCTGGATGAACAATTAATTTGAATCATGGAAGTTTAAGTTTACATTTAGTGTAGCAATCTAGTTGATTTCCTTTGCTGCACTCAGCAGTATGTTAGAAGTTAGTGTTACCCTTGTCTATAATCAGAACTTATCATTGCATTAAAGCACACACAGATGCACCCATTGTCTTTAAATGCCACAGTAGACTATTTTACTGTGCATTAAAAGTATCATGTAAGAAGCCATGATGTTATGCTAATGCACAGTAAAATAGTCTACTGTGCATCCTGTCACTAAAAAAAAGTGTGCAAATGAACTACTGCACATTGGTGTAGCCTAATGCACATTCATTTAGTACCTCACATTGGAGGTACTAAACTTAATGTGCATTAGAAAAGGCACACTAATGCATATGTAGATGCACCCAATTAAAAGGTGTTTAAACCAGATCAATGTGCATATTCAAAGTTAGGTTAAACCAGTGGAATTTCCAAAAGTGTCTAAGCAACTTAAAGACACATGTTCTATTTATAGTGAAGGAGATGTGTGCTCCCAAGTCACTCAAGCATTTTGGGAATTCCATCTAACATGGCCATGTTTTAATAAAGCTTTAGGGCAATAAACCTGGTGCAAAATGGGTATAGTTGTCAACCGAGCAAGGAAATAAATAATTAAAAAAAATAAGTTATAACTCAGCGCTTGATTTAGAAAACGATGCCTTCTCCTTCCCCCACTACGGTATTCCACGTGCTACTCATATAAAAATGGTGTAATAAATGGTTACGACTAACACATAATAAATAAACCAACTGAAATCTTGAAATCCAAACCAAAGCAACAGTACTACAACATGCACTGCTGGATAATACATTCCAACAAGTTGTGGCCATTTTTCCTCCTGCCTCTAGTACTTCGCTTTCATTGTCTTTAAAGGAAATGCCAGATTAGAACTCTACATTTTGTTCTAGCTGTTATACTGACTCCCTCTGGCTAGGGACAGAAGTTACACAATAACCAGTTCAAGTGATCTGAAACTGGTTTAAACTAGTTCTGTGTAACAGAACAGAAGTTCAGTATACATTATTTACTTTCAAAATAGTCAAAACCGGTTTAAGATAAACCTGGTTGGATGTAGTATCAGACTTAACTGATTTAGGTCAAACCGCTTTATGGAACTTCTGTTCCAGATCTCTGTGAACTTTGACAAGTCATGTAGCCTTTTGTTGTTTCAGTTTAATGAGAAATAAAGTGGCAAAAAAGAGAAAAAGAAAAAAAAAACCCAAATTCTTTTCTATGGTACAACTCAATTAACTTCCCTTGAGTTATACCAGAGGAGAACATAGGCCAATGGCTATCTGAAAGGGCTGTTGTGAAGATTAGTAAGTATTCATAAAGTATTTCAGGCTATAAGATACTGCATATATGCAAAATATATATCATCACTTAATTATCAGCAATGCTATTACTGACTTTTCCACTCTGAATGTTTCTAAGTCTTTCTGTGTAATGCTACCAGGGATATACTGCACAAGATCAGAAGTAAATAAAGGCTCATTAAAGGCTGAACTGCAAGCTCTCTGTGTGCAGAATTTCCCCTGATCTCAATGTACAAAGTAGGATTACTTTTGACTAACCATTGTTCTCTGGGAGTTCCTTATGGGATTAGTGCCTCTAGCAATGGGCTGTGGAACTACATAACAAAACTGCTGGAGAGTGCAGGAAAGCTCTCATGCTAGAATTGTCATCACTTTGTCTATATAAGGGTAGAGAGAGGTAGTTAGCTGTGTTGGTCTTTACAAAACTAGCTGGTTCAGAAAGGTCTGAGCCAGCTGTCAGATAGCAGCAGTATAAGGGTGTGTATTTCCAATGGCCTCAGTTTTTTCTCCCTGGCCTGCAGAGTCCTGTAGCATAAAGATATTAGGCATACAGAGTTAATGCTCAAAAGGCAACTCTCAAAGAACAACAGTTACTGTAAGCAACTTTCCTTTCTTCCTTGAGAGCCTTTGGATTTTTCCACTCTGTGGCAGATTGACAGGAAATATTCCTGTTAGACTGAGGACAGATGGATGAGAAATTCCTCATTTTACTAAGTGGAGTGCCATACCAAGTCCAATGAATCCAATACTAGGTACGTCATGAAAAATGAACAGAATTCCACTTTACTGCTTTACAAGTCCCAGGGTCAACTGTGGCGGTGACAGGGTGTGTCTTTAAAACAAGAGGTACTGGCTTTCTGGCTCAGGAGTAACAATACCAACTCTCTCTAAATCCAATAGGAAAGTTTGCTTAACTAAAGACTTGAACTTCCATCTTTCTTTACAGGTAACAAATCCTGATTTTGTGAAAGGATTAATCCTTCTGGGTACCGTATTTACCCAAATCCAAGAAGATGCAGATTATACACATGGAATATTATAAAGGGGAAAGCAGCGGTAGGGGGGCAAGGAGTGGGGAAAGCAGGGCTGGGGGAGAAAAAGTGGTGGCAAGGCATATGGGGGTTGGGGAGCAAGCAGCCTGACTCTTAGTTTTATAGTTTCATAGTTTTAGGGTCGGAAGGGACCTAATAGATCTTCTAGCCCGACCCCCCGCCAGGGCGGGAGAACAACAAAAGAACCCTAAACAAAAAACGGGACTCAAATGACCCCAGCCAGGTAGGTATCCAGCCTCTTCTTAAAGATCCCCAGGGTAGGGGCCAGCACCACCTCCCTTGGAAGTTGGTTCCAGCTCCTAGCCGCCCTAACTGTGAAGTAGTTTTTTCGGATGTCCAATCTGTACCTCCTCTCCATCAACTTGTGTCCATTACTCCTTGTTATGCCAGTGGGGGCTAGGGGAAACAGCGTCTCCCCCAAACCCTTCTGGTTCCCCCCTCTTGCTCCTTCCTTCACCATTTGACCCCTTTGATGCCTGCTCCCTGGCTACTTGCCCCTTCTGCTGCCCCCTTCCTCCTTCCTGTCTGTCCCCTGTGTGGTAGCTGTGGCTCCAGTTTCTGGCCTAGGGCACAGAGCACACAGTGGCTCCAGTTCTGGTTCTAGCCAGGCAGCAGTGGTAGCTCCAGGCCACCCCAGCTCTGGCCAAGCAGCAGTGTTGGCTGCAACTATGGCCCTGGCCCCAGCCCAGAACAGTTGGTGGCTCTAGGTTTAGCTCCAGCCCCAGATCAGGCCGAGAGTTGGAGCTACAGCAGCCACCTGCCCTGACCCAACACTCAGACCCAAGACAAAGCTTTTTTTTTTGCATGCAGTATGTGTGCTTTCCCCCCTCCCCCTTCATGTTGAATGGGTGAGGGTGGAAGAGGAACCTAGTCTTAGATTTGAGTAAATAGGGTAATAACACAGGGATTTTTATACACCTAAAAGGTATAAGATGAAGTTCCCTGGATGGGCATGGAGTCCGAAGACAAAAACAAGGAACTGGAGAAGAGAATAGAGCTAGGTACGGAGGGGAAAATGTACTGGGCTGGGTGAAAAATTGAGACCACCTTAGGCATGCATAAAGCTATGGTAAAGTTTCCAAAGGCTGTTATATATTCTGGTGTAGGGTAGAGAAGCCATAATGACACTGAATTTGCTAACCCTCTTAATAGAGAAAATAATTATTGAAATGCCTTTGTGAGAAATAGATAGTTTCATAGTAGCTAGGGTCAGGAGGGACCTGAACAGATCATCTAGCCTGACCCCGTGCCACAGGCAGGAATGAATGCTGGGTTCACAAGGCCCCAGACAGGTGATCATCCAACCTCCTCTTGAATTTGCCCAAGGTAGGGGCAAGGACTCTGGGAAGTTGGTTCCAGATGTTGGCCAACCTAACTGTAAAATATTGCCTTCTGATCTCTAACCTAAACCTATTCTCCATCAGCTTATGACCATTGTTCCTCGTCACCCCAGGTGCTGCTGGGAAGAAAAGGGCTCTGCCTATTTGCTGTTGATCTCCCCTGATGAGCTTGTAGGCAGCCACCAGGTCCCCCCTCAGCCTCCTCTTGCTGAGGCCGAACAGGTTCAGGTCCTTCAGTCCCTCCTCGTAGGGCCTGTCCTGCTGCCCTCTCACCAAGTGGATGGCCCTCCTCTGAACCCTCTCCAGGCTGGCCACATCCCTTTTGAAGTGTGGTGCCCAGTACTGGAAGCAGTACTCCAACTGTGGCCTGACTAAAGGCACATAGAGGGGGAGTATCACTTCTCTGGACCGGCTTGAGATGCACCTTTGGATGCATGACAAGGTATAGCTGGCCTTGCTGGCTGCAGTCTGGCATTGGCAGTTCATGTTCATCTTGGAGTCAATAATGACTCCAAGATCCCTTTCTGCCTCTGTACTTTCAAGAAGGGAACTCCCCAGCCTGTATGTATGCTGTGGATTCCTTCTCCCAAGGTGCAGCACCCTGCATTTCTCTACTTTGAATCCCATCCTATTCTCATCTGCTCACTTTTGTAGTTTGTCTAAATCTATTTGCAGCCTCTCTCTCCCTTCAAGTGTGTCCACCTCGCTCCACATCTTAGTGTCATCAGCAAACTTGGACAGCGTGATTTCCAACCCCTCGTCCAAGTTGCTGATGAAGATGTTATACAGTGTGAGCCCGAGGACCGAGCCCTGGGGTACCCCACTGCTCACATCTCACCAGGTTGAGTACAACCCGTCCACCACTACTCTCTGGGTGCGCCCCATCAGCCAATATTTTACCCATCCAACTGCGCAGGCATCAATGCCGCAGTCGCTTAATTTATTGATGAGGATGGGGTGAGAGACCGTGTCAAAGGCCTTCTTAAAGTCCAGAAAGACTACGTCCACAGCGACACCATCATCCAAGGATTTAGTTACTTGGTCATAAAAGGCAATCGGGTTGGTCTGGAAGGATGTTCTAAGGAAGCTTAAGATAGGGCTTGGAGATCACTGTTAGCATGAGATTCAAGTCCAAGGATGAAGAAGGTGGGAAAGCAACTAAAACTGAGAATGAGAGAATACAGGCTTGTCTCTACCAAACCTGTGATAGGCAGAAATAGCTGCTAAATAAACCTTCACAGAAGCCATCACTAAGCTTTGTTTTAGGGTTTCTCAAAGCACAACAGGGACTCACACTTGTGATGGGGTTTATCTGTTATTGTTCATCCAACACGTAAATCAACAAGTTCTAAACAGTAGCACTTCAGTATAGAAGTGTTACTATAATAGTTCTGCTTGCAAGCTCATTGACCCATAATAGCTGGTCCATAGTTACTTGGAGAAGATCTTTGGGCCCATACTGCTGATGTCACATTAACGCTATCAGTATCTCGTCCAATCTTCCTTCTGATTCTGAAGAAGTTAGGCATAGAGAAGATAACTGCTATAACCCTGCACAAATGCATTCAACAGATTTTTTACTCCATGAGCCGGAGTCCAGTATGGACAATAACGGGTCTAATTATTGCATTCAAGTAGGCCGCTTAGTGGATAACCACCGAGGAAGAATGAGGAGTTTAAACACATCTGCCTGCTTAGTGTTCCCTATTGGTTACCTCTACATACCTCCAAGCTCTCTGAATTGCTCTTTCATAGCACCTGATTTTGAATAGAGGGAGCTGTGGTACATAATCCTGATTTGCTTTTCATTGGTGCCCAAGTGACACTATTGACAGTGTGCAGGTCCTAGGCACCTAACCCTGCCTACTTGGATCATTATTCTGAGGCCAGATGCCTTATTTTTAAGAACTGCAGTGGCTAGTAGGAGGCACCTAGGTGATTAATCTAAATCTGGCTAACTAACAATAGGACAAGCTAACCTGCTCACCGCCATGAGAAACAATTCAATTCACCTCTTTGCAATGGAACTCAGGTGCACTATTTTATATCTATTGATGTCATCCTAGAGTAAGTAATCCTGCATCACTAGCAGATGTAACTTGGTTATATAGTTTTGCAGATTGATGCTAGAGGGACTAGATTCCATACATGGGAATAAATAGAAGACCTTGAAGAAAAACAATCACTTTTAAAGGTGATTCATTCACAACCTGGGGATTATTTTTTCTAGTTACTGATGTTACTTTGTATACTGTCAATTTTGTACTGTCAATCTAACCTTTGGCCAAATTCTGCAGCCCTTATTCATGCAAAACCTTTCCTTAATACCAATGGCGTTTAGCCTGTAGGTTGAAAACTCACTGGGCAGGAACCAGAACTTTGTACAGCATTAGGGCACAACATGGAATCGAATAGCAACACTTGAATCATCTGAATAACATGTATTTGACTTTTCTAAAGTTGTATGTTAAAGTGAATTATTTAACTAAAAAGAATACATACCCACATACAGATTGCGCTCAGAAGACAGGCAACGCTTCCCATCTTGAACAAAAAAAGCATTGGCTACTATGTCCAGTAAAGGTTTATATTCTATGCATCCTGCTAGAGTCTCCAACACGAATTTTCCATCTGTCACATTAAGGGCCTATACAGATACAAAATTAGTAGTGATGAATGAATTCCAGGAACAAAATATCATTTGTTTACAGCAAGCAATGGCAATCATTCTGTGCTGAACTAAAATATGGGTATTGAACTACAGGGACTGAGCTGGAAGAGATGTACCTTTCAAGCTCTTAAATGCATGCAGCCTCAAGAAATTAATGGCCTTTGTTAGGCAGAATTAAAACACCAAATCTTTAACTTTCAGCTAATCTGCTGACATATGCATTTAGTTAAATGGCCTCAACTGATGTGTGAAAGTCAACAGTTAATGCAGAGGAAATGTAGAGCCCTTGAGTGCTAATGAATAACTAAGCCAACGGTCTGGGAAACCTCCAATTAAATTTTGCTTTTGCAGTGGGCTAATCACTTTACCCAATAACATTAAGCAATCTGACCATATGTAGATGAAGTGTAGTTTGGGGACATGAAATCCACCTCAGGACCAGAACAGAAGTTATGGAAAGGACTCACCCCTGGCTGTTACTTCAGCCTGTATATGGGGAAAGA